CAGATGACAAGGTCTACATATAACCTCCTCCCTGGGGGATGGACAGCGGAGAAGTGGGTGAGGGAGATGTCAGATAGTGTAAGATATGATAAAATAATAATAATTTATAAATTATCAAGGGGGAGGGAGGGGAAAAAATGAGGAGCTGACACCAAGGGCTCAAGTAGAAAGCGTAGAAAGCAGGTGTTGTGAGAATGATGAAGTCAACATATGTACTAATGCGCTGGACGCAAATGATGTATGTCAGATTGTGAAGAGTTGTATGAGCCCCTAATAAAATGATTATAAAAAAATGTGCTGGAAAACTCAGCTTATACACACACATATACGGTAGGTGTTCTTATTAATTAACATATATACAAGGAACCTAAAGTAGTTAAGTAACTTGCCTAAATAGCATGTTCAGGATTTAAATACAGATCTGTTTATCTGCATGACCTATATTCTTTCTTCTCTTTATGCTACCTTATTGGTATACGAGGAAAAATAATAATCCCTAGTAGTCATGATACTGTAAAACCACAGACACTGCAAAATCGTGCTTGTTTCTAGAAAATGCTTAAAAATTTAGACTGCAACTTTCCTCTCGTTCTTTAATGCTTCCTCCCCCCATCATGATGACGGCAATTCCACCTTACAAATTGGGGTAGCCCAGAGCATGTACACTGGCACAGGTAAGAGCTTGCAATGCAGGGAATCCCGGGCAGATAAACCCCCAGAACCAGTAAAATGAGACAAGTGATAACAGCGGGGGAAGGGGAAGGTGGGGGGAAAGACGGGGAACCAACCATAATGATCTACATTTAACCCCCTCCCAGTGGGATGAACAACAGAAAAGTGTGTGAACGGAGACAGTGGTCAGTGTAGACATGAAAATAATAATTTATAAATTATCAAGGATTCATGAGGGAAGGGCAGGGGGGTGGGGGTGGGAATGAGCTGATACCAAAGGCTCAAGTGGAAAATGTTTTGAAAATGATGATGGCAATAAATGTACAAGTGTGCTTGACACAATGGATG